GTGAAGTGGCAGGGAGGCTGGAAGACAGCGCCTCAGCAGAGGCAGGGTGGTGGGGCGGCGTGGCAGGGCAATTGGAAGAGAGCGCCTCAGCAGAGGCAGCGTGGCAGGGTGACGTGGCAGGGCAGTTGGAAGAGAGCGCCTCAGCAGAGGCAGCATGGCAGGGTGACGTGGCAGGGCAGTTGGAAGAGAGCGCCTCAGCAGAGGCAGCATGGCGGGGTGGCAGGCAGCTAATAGGGCAGCTGGAATAAAGCACCTCAGTGGGGGTTTTTGCTCAGCACAAGCCAAGCTTCTGGTTGGAAAAGTTTTAGCTTGTCGTGTGTGTGTGTGTGTGTGTGTGTGTGTGTGTGTGGATTATATTTATTTTACATTGTGGTTCACACAATGTAATAGAATCCCGTTTTTTGATGTTGTGGGTACTATTTTTCAGGTCCCCACAAAGATCTGTGAATGCAATCAACAAACTAAAAATGTATTTTGTTTGGTTACTTATGGTTAAGGCTGACCCATAGAAATGAATGATTACAAACCTCTGTGTGTGTGTGTGCGTTTGTGTGTTAGGAATTTTAGCAATATCACTACGATATTGTAAGTGTCGTATTTTCTTTCTCTAATGAAATCTTCAGTTCATACTTCCAGTAATTGTCAAAGCTTAATTCACACCATGGCACACCGAGAAATTAACACTGTCTGCAGGAGAGACGCCTCTCACTTTGCGAGCAATTACTGACTACTACGGATGCTCCCATGTCAACCTGCGGGAGGCACCGCTCTGACTCAGATGCCCTGGACACAGTGTGACCGATAGTGGCTGGTGGGGTGGCGTGTCGAGGGGTGGCTGGCGAAGCAGCCTGGTGGGCCGGTTTGGTGTAGTGGCTGGGGGCGTGGCGTAGCGGGTCACCTGGTCACGGGGGCTAGTGAGGCGATATGGAAGAGCGGCTGGTGGGACAGAATGGTGGAGTAGCTGGGGGCGTGGCGGTGTGCCTGGCTGGGTGGCTAAGGGGGAGAAGTGGCGAAATAGCTCAAAGCATAGCATGGGGGGGCGGCCGGTCAAGGTGGGGCAGCTGGTCAGGGCAGCTAGCGCGGCGGTGTGGCAGGATGGCTGGCAGGGCAGCATGGTGGAGTAGCTGTAGCCGTGGCGAGGCGGCTGGTGGGGTGGATTAACTGGAGGCACGGCGAGGCGGCTGGCCGGGCGGAGTGGTGGAGTAACTGGAGGCATGGCGAGGTGGCTGGAGGGGTGGAGTAACTGGAGGCATGGCGAGGTGGCTGGAGGGGTGGAGTAACTGGAGGCATGGCGAGGTGGCTGGAGGGGTGGAGTAACTGGAGGCACGGCGAGGCGGCTGGCCGGGCGGAGTGGTGGAGTAACTGGAGGCATGGCGAGGTGGCTGGAGGGGTGGAGTGGTGGAGTAACTGGAGGCGAGGTGTAGTGGGCCTGCTGGCTGGGTTGCTAGCGGTGTGGCTGGCCGCATGGCTGGAGGCGTGGCATGGCAGGGTAGCTGGCGAGGCAGCGTGGCAGGGGGCCTTTGGGCTTAATAACGGCTGGTGGGACGGCAGGTATTCTGACAATTTCCCAATTACACAGCTTTATGGCCATTTAAGGGCAATTATAGCTATACTTATAGCCCCCCCCAACCCTAAGCCTAACCCTAACTGTAACCCCCCCACTCAGGCTGGATTTGTGAGCTGCAGCCAAGCCACCTGCAGGTTTTGCGCTGCATCAGACAGGGCCTGGCTGCCATGTCACATATGGGGTAAATGCAGAGGACACATTTCATTGTTGTGCCCTGTGTGCTGTGGTGTGTCACCAATGACAGTTAAGCACTTAATCAAACCTTAGTCCCTACATCCACAGGCTGATCGCGGAGCCGATGCCTATGTTACTCCACCGTCGTCTCTGCTCTCGAAAATCAAGGGCCACAAATTAATTTCACAGATGTCACTGAAAGCTGGGCCCGTTGACAGACGGAAATGCCGTTCGACTCGCTCGCCCTGTTGGGTAGCGGTCTGTTCGGCTCCTCTGGGCCTGCCCGTATGTGTCTAGCAGAAGGAGAAACCCTCGTAAAAACCACGCTCACCGTTATTCAGTAAGGCTTTTGCCGGGTGTTAAGCCTGACAGACTTTTTGACTTTTGACTTGAAGCCGGTTCTGTAAACAGTGTTTTGTTACTTTGAAGCAGCAGAGACAGAACGACTAAATAGGGTGTTGACCACTGCAGAACAAGTACTTGTAAAATCTGCTGCTTCATTTATGCTAAAAGGAATAGTCCTCCCCCATAGCATAGACTTCAGCTAACCCTTGTTGCTCAAATTTGTTTCAGGTATTTTTTTTTCTTCCTTCTTTGCAATTAGTCAGGCACCATATGATAATCATGATCATTAATCGATCTACTCAGACTGCAACCATTTCACACTTGCAAAATATCACAGCCTTAGTGAGCGTCCAATCTGTTGCCTTAAAATTCTCACAAAACAAGCAGATTTAGTCTCCTCCATGTACATATTTATCCAGCACAAGCTCAGTGAAACTCCTAGGTAACAGTAATGTACAGTATCCATGGCAATACACACTGAAGCAAATTGGATGAGAAGCAAATTCAGGACCAAATACGGAGTTCACTGGGGGATCTTACCTCACATCACTCAAGCAGGTTTAGTCTGGGTTTACATGTTACAACCATATACGTTCATGATTATTTATCAGTGTTTTGGCAACAAGTACGGCAACAAATGCATTGAGTTTGCACATCCCGCTGATCCCTACTTGTGTGTATTCCCCCGTCTTGCAGACGTTAATGATGTTTCAGCCTCTGGTGACAGCTTCCGTTTAACAAAAAACCATGGCGGCTTTTGTTTGCCTTTTTATGGAAGCTGTATGGCGATAATCACAAATAAACTTAAATGTGAATAACTGTCCATTGTTTTGGTCCTGGACAAGTGTGTAAACCATGCTTCGTTTGCATCTGGAAAACAGTAACCAGCATCCAATCTAGACAGTAGCATCCATTGTCGGTGTCTCACTAAAACACCCCCGTTATAATGACCTATTTTAGTCCTTCGCCTTTCCCTTAATATATCTGTAGTGTATTTTCACATTGCACCTTGTCCGACTGTCTCATTTTGCTCACTTGTGTACGCTCTTTGTTGCTGGTTGGTTAATGCATTATGTTATGTTCTCTTTGTGATTTATTTCACGTTAATGTGACCAATTACCAGAGGTAGAAAGTTCAGTTTTGGAAAACACAAATCCGGACCAGGATTTTGTTTCAACCAACCAGTTAAGTGTACAGAGTCGCATTTACAGAGTACTCAACTGGCTGGTTGAAACAAAATCTTGGTGTGGATTTGTACTCTCTAGACCTGAACTTTCCACCTTCGCTGGTTACACCAAGATAAATTCCTTGTGCTGGGGCTGCATATGGTTAGTCAATTTGATTCTGATTCTGATTCTGAAATGAATAAACACCTCAGCTTGCTGAGCCAGGCAAGGTTATTACAACATCGGAGCTTTATTCTGCCTGTGACGTCTCTCCTGCCCTGCTGCTGCAGCACTGTCCATCCTGCTGTGAGAAGCAGCACCAGCACCGTAAATCTTACAATTTGACAGTGTAAATTAGGATTCTTGGTTCTGCCGTAAGTGCACAGGGAGTCTGATGTTGCACAGTCATTTTGGTCCGGAAATTGTCGCAAATCTATTAATAGTGGCTAGTCAACATCAGCCAGGAAAACGTAAATGAAAAACGAGGACACAGTCTGGGCGATATAGTTTGGAGGGTTAAAAAAAGGTCAGCCCTACCACATCTTTGCTGAGACACAGGTCGGGAAGACTTGCATAAGAGATTATTGTGTGTTCTATTTTAAATTCCGTCAACAGGAGGGTGAGGGAGTGAAATTTTGGGAGAGTGCTGGAGGGGATCATTGCAAGCATGCTGCTTAATTTGACAGCCCAGGGGGGTTAATTCTCAGTGAGTCTGTGTTTCTTGTCCTACTGGAAGTTTTATATTGGAATTGAATGTCCTATAAATCCTTAAAAAAAAGATATTTTGAGCATTTTGACAAGGAGGAACACACACTTTGGTCACTTTGCAAAGCAACAACGACTTAAACTGGCTGGGGGTTTACAGTGTTACCATCTTTCTGCATCTATAAAGTGACATTGTATCGTTACTTTGTACTTGTATATAAATGACTTATAACTGGGACAGAATCAAATTAACTTTCAAATATGTGTAATATATGCCAGCTATTCCACTACCTGTTTCAGCTTTGCTGAAAAAATAAAAATATCCAGTTCAATTAAGTTTTTACAAGTCAGGTTCTTTAGCGGTGCAGAAATCATTAAGCTACAGAACTTGATTTATTTACGCAGTAATTTGTGTGGATATACAATCAAATTCTTACCCACCCCCCTAAGAAAAAATACATAAATGATATGCAGGGTTTATCAAGGTAGAACTAGTCAGGACAAAGCTTTAAAAAAAAAACAATCAGAGATTAAAAGCCACAAAACTGCAACTGTGTAGAAACGACATGCCGGATTACACATCCATCTGTCTGCTGCGGGGTCTGTGGAAAGTGGATCAATGCTGCCTTGGTCTGGTCAGCAATGGGATAAGTGAGATATGCTGTGTAGGTGAAACACCACCCTCAGTTCTCCACTGAGTATTACGCTGCGGCGCTGTGTAACACATAGGGAAACTGTTGAATTTATGGAACATTCTGCGGCCGTTCTGCTGATAGGGTCTTTAGGGATGCACTAAGACAAGACTCCGTGTGCCATCCCCCCTCCGGCCTCTCAGGAGGTTATGCGGGCTGCCAAAAGTCAGTGTGAAGATTCTGTATCCGATCGCCCCAAATGAAGGGCTGTCAGCATGTAGACGTGCTGTAGTTACCAAGAGGTTCATAGAGGGCAGCAGTCAGTGCTTCATATGCATTAGGAGAGACACACATATGTAATTTCCCTGGCAGCATATTCTTATGTTGCTTCGTATCGATATTTTTTTTCAGATTGGAGTCCCATCCAGGTTCTTTCACTGCCTTGTTCTTCAGACTTCCTGGGTGAACCCCCAAGTTCATTGCAACACTATAGTAGGTAAGCAGATTGGGTGCTTGGATTGATTGCATGTCTGCATACACATTTTCTGAGCATTCAAATGTTTGAAAAGTAGCTGCTTCTTTAAAGGACGTAAGTAAAATATTACCTAGATTTGAAGGCCCACATGAGCTCCATTCACTTTTCCAAGTGCTTTTTAATTGAAAATCAAGCTTATCGACATCTCTGGCACACATTAAGTTTTATGTAACTCATTCAGGGACGCTTAGCATATGGGACGCATGGTGCTGCAGTTTGTTAGTGTTTAATCAATCGCACAGCATCAAATGCACAAATCGTCACCCACGGAGTCCTGGGCTCGGCAGGAAATAGCGATGTGCTGATGGTTATTTGCATCGCTGTAGGCCTGCCAGTGGTCCGGGTTTCTTGGCTCTGGAGCGTCCTCAGTGGTTGAGCTGCAGCTCTAGGCGAGCTCCAGAGTTGCGAGAGATCTTCCCTTCCAGCTCCAGGCCTCCTCCAGGGGTGAGTGAGACTCTCTATTCCAACTTCACGCTGACTCCAGAGCCAAGAAAGATCTCCTGATGATCTCAGAGAGTTGCTGCTTTGCAGGCCTAACCCTAAACCTAACCCTAACCCTAACCCTCCCTGGGTGAGCAAGACTCTCCATTGCAGCTACCCGCTGGCTTCGGAGCTGAGGGAAGGAGACTCCGTGCATCTGTGATCTAGGCTGCCTCAGGCCTTTCACAGCATATTGCCCCGAATGATTCCACAGAAGGTCCAGATTAACCACTATGTGGCCGGACCAGTGGTTTGCCAGTAGAAACTGCATATGCTACTAACGTAAACATTCTTCCATCACTTTACTAAGCATGCTAGCATGAAATGTATGAATGGCACAGAGCAGCAGAACACCATGTGCACTATCTGCTTGACAATGATTGGCTGTAATCGTTTGGCAAAGGTAGCATGGTAGATAGCCTAGTCAAATGACATGGCAGGAAGGCAGAGAACATCTCGCAGCAGGTCTTAGATGGAGCCTGGTCAACTTGGAGAAGCTGAAGGATGAGCCATTTCCATTTGCAGCGTTGTTAAGCTGTCAGACGACGCAGCTCTGTAGCAATCAGCTGTGCACGTCTCTGCCCCGCCGGACTCGGATTCCTGCGTCCTGAGAAATGGAGCTTTTACTTCCTTTCCAATCTCCACGGGATCAGAATAAACACACATGCAATACACAGACACAGAGTAACTCCACATATTCCCTACCAGACAGGGCACGATGCAGGCTAGGCACACTTGCGCCACAGTGGGTATGTGTTGCAGACTCCGCCCCTCCCCCCCCCGTCGGGTCCGCCCCCGTGGGCGTGACAGTACCCCCCCCCCCCCCCCCCCCCCCCCCCCGCACGGAAGCTTTGGCTAGACATGCGTCGTGCAGTGATGCAGGCAGAACAAGAAGCATCCGTGGAGGAAACACGATGGGGCTGCTGATCTCCCCGTTGCCATTGTTCACAGAAACATGCTCTCAGTGTACTGACAGCCTGGCATTTAACATCTCCCCGTCCTGCTGCAATCCAGTCACGCCATTTTTCAATATAGTGTATTATTAATAGTTAGCTGCCTCTGTTTGCCACCAGGAATCGCAAAAAAAAAGGAAGATAACTCTGTCTGGCAATATGGGGAAACCTGAACATGACTTTTCTCAGGTGCTGGTCTGGAAATAATAGGTGGGAATATCAGTGACAGGCCGGCCTCCTCGTCCTTCATGTCGCCACTTCAGGGGAACGGTTATAAACACTGGCTGATTATTCACAGAGTGGCAGCAAGCCGACTTTTTCTCCCAGTCGGCCTTGGCGCCTTCATCACCGGTCTTTGGGTTTTTATTTGCTTTGCACAAGGGATCCAGCTGCTTCTGCGTTTCTATCTTCTCACGCCTGGCTTTCCTCCCACCAAGTGCCACGTCCATCTCACTGTCTTTGCACCGGTGTTTGTTTTCATTCATCTTAGCGGATCCATATAGACAGATGCTTGCTGCTTGTGTATTTGAAAACAATTTAATTAATCCAGTTCTATTTAGCTATTTATTTATATAATATAAATATATCATTTAATATATCCATCCATATTCAAAGCAGTCATCCAGTGCAGTATTATGAGGATATTATATAATTATATATAGTATAATTAAATGTGGTTATGAGTACTGTTCATAGCCTAGTGCAGCTTTCCAACCCACAGATGGTCCAAGTTTTTGCTCCCTTCCAGCTCCCTGCCAGACAGTCCACATTTTTGTACTGGGAACTGGGAGGGAGTAAAAACGTGCACCGTCTGTGGGTCTCCAAGGACCATTGTTGAAGGACCAACACTGCACTAGACTACGCAGTACTATGCTAAAACCAGAATAGGAAACACTGCATTCATTTTGATGTAAGTTATTATGCATTGACTTGTGAGTTGCTCTTACCAAACTGTTGTAAATGCATTCCACAAATCTACCCAAACATATCATTGGCATACATTTCCAGGAAACTAACGTAGCCATAATTTATGATTCTGAAGATGTAGGCGGTACAGTGTATTGGATGTAGATCGCAATGCAGCACAGGAAGGCACCATCCTCCATTCAGACAGTCGTTCAGAATGCACGTATTCCTTGTGCATTTTCATATGGAAACATTAAATTTCATGTAAAAACAAAAAAAAAACATGAAATTCCTTGTTATGACCATTTGAACGTGACTCCACACACCAGGCTTCCGGGGAGATTTTCCGTGCGTAGTGATAACGGCATATGCCGCAATCCAGCATTCCCAGCAGGAAGTGTGACTCACTGTGGTTGAAGGATTCAGCGATTCAGGTTCATTTGTTTTTGGTGCCAGGCGGGTGTGCGTTTGTAAAGTCAGGTTCAGGCTGGACTTTGATCGGCGAGATAGTCTGAGAGTTGGCTGGCATTTAATCACAGTCTGCTGTGTAATTTCAGGCTCCCTCCTCTGTCACTGTGTGTCCAGCACAGTCATTTTGGGGTGAATATGGAAATAACCTGGCAGAGTATTAGCAGTCAGAGATTTTTATTGTTTTTAAAAAGCTGCTCTGAGTTTAAAATGAAAGCCGTGTGCAGGAAATCCACAGCATCAGTTTAAAAATGGCACTGTGTTTATTTTAATTTTGCTAGATTATAATGTATGCAGCTTAGCTACGGTCTGCAAAAAATTCTCCGATGTTGAACCCACCGCTGGCTGAAATCTTTGTGGGGGGGTGGGGGAGGGGGTTATTGTACCCTTGAGTAAGTTGTTCGAGATGTATTGACACGTACAGTAGGGGATCCATCCATCCATCCATCCATTTTCTGAAACCACTGGATCCCAACTGGGGTCGCGGGGGGGACCGGAGCCTATCCCTGGGACAATGGGCACAGGCAGGAACCAACCCTGGGCGGGCGCCAACACACCACAGGGTGGACACACTCACACACACACAACTACAGGGCCAATTTGGATACACCAATCTACCTACAGCAGCGAATAATGTGCCTATTTTCAAGTAATTTTATCAAATAAATTCATATCAGATCCAGAAGAGAATAACAATTATTATTATCCATTAGAATTATTATTAATTATAGAATAATTACTGAATTGCTACAATTTAACAACATTGGTCACTTACATTGTAGTATACAGCACTTAGACCATCAGTGTACAAAAGACAGGGGCACCCAAAATTTTCAGCTGACCGGGGGGGAGTTGGGATGTGGGAGTGCAGTCCCCCTTGGTATATTTTCCTGCCGACTTGGCGGGGGGGTCTCCCTCTTGTCGGTAACGACATGGCCAACGATGAAGTGAAGCATTATCCATTAATCATCTACTGCAATCGACCTGGAATTTGGCTGAGATCAACCGGCAGTTTGTGCGCCCCTGGTATATACTGTAAGGTGAAGTGCCGGGGTTTGGGAAGAAAGACTGTCCCTCACAAGATGGAAAAACATGGTGTATTCCATCTTGTTTAATTAAATTGTGAAGTATAGCTATGTTTTTCTTTTATATACGAATCCCATTACATATATAGCACAGTTAGAAAGCCTGAGAATGTCTTTCCCCAAAAACCTTAAAAGAAATGATCTGTCCTCTAAGTGGCATTACAGCGATCACTCGACCGGAAGAAGTGACAAGTCCCAACTGAAGATAAACCCCATGAGAGATTCTGGCATTCCCGTGCGTCGGGAGACCGTATCGAGTGACGGCTCGGCTAAGAGAAGCTTTTTCTCCTCATTTGTATGATTCATAAGTTTGACGGTGCTGGAATGTAGGGATGGTGGAACGAAATCCTAAACACGTGTTTATCATTATTGTTCCTGGGAGAGGCTCCAGGCTTCGGGGCTAATAAATCTGTCCTCCCACCAGGAAGGGCTGACATCACTGCCTCACGTGGTTCGGCGTGCTTCACCGAGGACCTGTGGGCGCCCATCCCACCGCCGGACGGGGAACACACCGTGACGGATAGCCAGAGCACATTGTGAGCACTATGGTGCGCTTTACCGCTTCTTCAGAAATAAAGGAGTGCTAAAATCTTGGGGCTGTTTTGGGACCGACCAAAGGAAGATTGAGCCACTTCAATCTTATTTCCAGTATCTGTTTGTGTGTACATACACGTATACACATATATATTTGTTATCATATATAATATAAATACCGTGCGGACAGAAGACTGGTAACGCTATTGGACCCCTGAGCAAGGTTCTTAACACCTTGGTAGGCGAACAATTTCCCCATGGCGATGAATAAAGTATCTCTATTCTATTCTATTCTATTCTATTCTATTTTGTAATCATGACATATGTTCTCCTCCATTCCTCTGTATATCATTTAATGCTGCTGTCTGGGGTGTGGAGGAAATATGTAAATACTCTACATGGACAAAAGTATTAGGACACTGGGCCATTACACCTACATGAACTTTTATGGCCTCCCATTCTAAATTCACAGGCATCAATATTCACAGCTATATTAATATTTTTTTTACAGGCCATTTCTTATGGACTTTAGAACAGGCGAAATGCAAAGCCACCTCTGCCCTCATAGGTCCCTGTATCATGTTCGCATTATACATAACTTCTAATGCATTTGGACAGGGAGCCAAATAATGTAACAGAGATATGGTTACATGGAAAGCATGGCTACAGAGTTTATAGACATGGGGATGAACACAGTATGGCTAGCTAATGGTAACAAAGGGGATGCTTCCATGTATCACTTCCCTGAGACAGATAAAAGTCAGGAAAACACAGGACTTGGGTGGCTGGGTCAAGGCCAAGGGGCACAGACAGCCAATCACGTTTTGAGAAAGCAGGGTCAGACAATCCCTGGAGCGACTAAGGGCCTTGCTTACTCCATTGACACTGGGATTTGAACTGGCACCCTGCCGGTGATAAGTGCAGCATCATAACACACTGAGTCTAGATACCTTGCTGTCTTTCTTCCGATGGCCACACCAATAAAACGTAGCGCTGGCATTTTATGAGTTTTCTTGGC